ATGGGTATGTCACATAGAACAGTGACTCAAGTGTTTCTCGGCTAATTGCAGTGTTGCTTCCGACAACTCATGTTGAAGCTTGGTGTCTCCTTTTTGAAGACAAGCCATTTTTACAAGGTCTACGTGCGACAAAGCGTCTGCCACAGTGTTGTTCACTCCAGATACATGGCGAATATCTGACGTAAACTATGAAACGCAGTCCAGTTGTCGTGATTCTCTAGGTGAATACTTATCTGAAGTTGAGTTCAGGGAGTATGTCAGAGGTTTGTGGTCAGTGAAAATTATAAATTCACGACTCTCCACTGATTGTCGAAAATGGCATATAGGACAACATATAGCCAGAAGTTCTCTGCCAAATGTGCTGTACCTCGTTTCAGCTAATTGAAGGCGCCTCGAGAAAAAGGCGAGTGGTTGCCACTCTTTGCTGACTAGTTGTTGCAGAACTGCGCTGAATGCAGTGCCTGATGGATCAACTGAGATACTTAACGGTGTCATTGGATGCTCATACATTAGAAGTGTGGCATCCGCAATAGCTTTTTTAACCTGAGTGAAAGCGTTTCGAGCAAAGGCCTCAAGTTCAATGGACTTGTTATTCCCTCGAAGAAGGTCGGTTGATGGCTGAATCAGAGAAGCACAGTTAGGAATAAATCGTCGGTAATAACTTACCAAGCCGTTAAAAGTGCGAAGACATTTCACTGTATTTGGCTCCGGAAAGTTCAGTGTCACTTCGACTTTAGTAGCCAGTGGGCGAATGCCCTGACAGTCAATAGTGTGACCCAGAAAATCGAGTGAGTCAACGCCTATTTGACACCTCTGGATATTGATGGTAACACCATGTTGGCGTAACCTTTCCAATACCAAGTCCAAGTGTCTAAGGTGAGTTTCCTTCTCTGGACTGGCAATGAGGCAGTCGTCTAAGTATGCGTATACAAAGTCGAGACCGCGAAATACTTCATCGATGAAGCGTTGGAATGTTTGGGCCGCATTCCGGAGGCCAAATGGCATACGTAGGAATTCGAAAAGTCCGAAAGGCGTGATGATAGCCGTTTTTGGGATATCTTCCGTTGCCATCGGGATTTGGTTATACGCTTTAACCAAGTAGATTTTAGAGAATATAGATGCACCAGATAACGTTGCCGTCAAGTCGTGTATGTGAGGCAAAGGGTAGCAATCAGGGGTTGTTTTGGCGTTCACTCGCGGATAATCACCAGTGGGTCGCCAATCGTTGCTATCTTTTCCGGTACCATACGCAGTGGGGATGCACATGGGCTTTTCGATGACCAAATGATGCCAAATATGAGCATATGTTCAAACTCATTTCTAGCGAGTCGTCGTCTGTCACGAGAAAGTCCTCGTGCTTTAGATGTTACGGGTTGTCCTGAGGTTGTGATGTGATGCATAACATTGCTAGTTATGCTCGGTAGGTCGTTAGACGGGCAATTAATTTCCGGATACTTATCAATAATTGGCTGGAAAGTTGGATCAAAAATTGTCTTCTTCTTGACGAGTGACAAGCTACGGCCTACGTAGGTGATGTCTTTAACATACAGTCTAGTAGTACTATCTATCAGTCGTTTTCAGGGGACGTCTACGAGTAAATTACGCTGGTTAAGTAGGTCTGCGCCAATGATGGTCATTGTGACGTCAGCGAGAAGGAAAATCCTACGTTCAGATAGATTTATTTTCTACCAAAGGTTGCAATTGGTTTCCCATTCGCAGCTCATAAGTTGAAGGTAGGTTCCTTCTGTCGATCTGCTGCTGTATCAGGAAGGACTCTGAATTCTGCACCTGTGTCGACTAAGTACCGGGTTTGGTTGACTTCATCATGAATGTAAAGTAGGTGACTAGTGCCACCGGCGACGTTTGCCGCTAACGCGTGCCGGCGGGATAGTTTCCCACAGACTTTGAGACATTGCCGAAACTACAAGGTTTTCTGTAACATTTCGCTTCCTGGCCACAGGTATTGTGACACAAACACCAGTCAGGGTTTTTAAGTGAACGTGGTTTGGATTTTGACCAACCTCGTGGGTTTGGTCGTTGAGGGGAGTTCAGATGACGATAGGAGGAATTACAGGGTACATTTGACCTAAGTAGCTGTTGGACGGAGTTACATGACTCTTTCGTTGCAGTGTCCCTACTCGAAGTCTGTTCGGCAACTGGGCATACTTCAGTGACTGGTCGTTTGGTTATTTCTAAAATTCTATCTGCAGAAACAGCTAAGTCATCTATAATAACACCCTGAAGTGTCACAAGTACAGTCTGTACTGACTGTGGCAGTTTGGATAAGAAAAGTTCTCTGAAAAGTCCTTCATCAGACTGACGTTGGCCAATTACCTCCCTCATCCTTGTGAGCATGCTCACGGCTTATTGATCACCTAACTCGACGTTGCAGAATAATTCATCGAAATGCTGTCGATCCGTGAGAAGGTTTCTCCTTAGGATGGACGTTTTGAGCAACTCGTACGAGTTACTTAGCTCTGGACTCGACATCTGCACAGTTACGCACTTGCTGAATTCCCGTGGTAGGGTGTGAACAACTGTAAAGAACTGTGAATGTTGATCAGTTATCTCATGTTCACTGACATCAAACTCAGCTATTTAAAACCATGATTCAGCACTATCTGGCCAATATAGTTCGAGCTGTATGGTTTTGGCAGTTGATCTAATACGAACGACCTTAGGAGTATGATCACACATGACGAAATATATGTAGTTTAGAAATAGTACAAGAACAAATACTAAATGGAACGAACTCACTGGATTTGTCTGCGTCGGCGGCACAGAGGTTAGGACTCTCGCCGATCATGCACATGGTCCATGGCCAATAATTTTGGAGAATTATTTACCACTATATATTCCTCGTTACTTGTCTGTATGTTCTTTTTGATAAGACCGAATATTAGCCTTTGCTTAGGTTGCGAGGTACAGAGCGTATCAAGCTCTCTTTGAAATACTAGGAAAAAGTAGATATTTGGAGAAGCTCATTGATAAAACACTACGCTACAACTTTCTTTTAGGGTGCACGATGAAGTTACATTTCTTCTTCAACACGAAGCGATACCAAACCCTATGAATAGGCCAGCCCATAGTCAAATTTGCCAGCATAAGCTATCAATGTCTAGTGAAGGGGAGATGGAAGTGATACGTAGCAATACAGTAACATTTATTGTTGATGTAGGGCCTCTGGTCGTCATTAACACAGCTCTTACAGCTTTTCATCACACCTCACGCATTTGTACTTGTCATTCACAGGACTAATAATTAAGTACAGAATACGTAATCAGAATTCACCTTGATAGGTTAAACCTGTGTTTACAAGATACTCATACGTCCTTTTTCTAACCATGGTCGTCTGCATTACATGCACAAGTTGTTGAATCTATTCCGTCTTCTGTACATCTTACAATCTATCGCTGCCTTCGTATTGCTATTCGTATTACTATTTCAGATGATTCGCCTGATATTTTCGTCGCTAAAGGTTCTTGCATAATTGTTACCATTTGCCAGTTTGAGGAATGCAATCACCCATCTTTATGTGGTGACCTGTTAATCGTAACTACAAACCATCTCTACACTTACATCAAACACGCCTTCCTTTAACTGTTATCTTGGTTTCTGTGGTTACTTTCCATCAATAGTGCACCATGATACTGACTGTTACTTTTTAACTGATGGATTACCACTTGATTGGTATGATTTTGACGTATTTTTTAAAGAAAACTTATAAATCAGTGTAGAGAGGAGGATAAAGTACTGATAAAAAGAGAATTATTTCCTTGTTCATTTAGTTGTTTTATGGAGAATACACTTCAGTTGCGTTCATTTTCATGCACTTGTGTTTTTCATCTTTCAGATGAATGGAGTTATGAGGTTTTCTGTCACAAGCATCATGTTTAATTTGGTTGAGCATAAAAGCCAGCGGTTGGGTTAAGAATGAATTTCCATTATGTAGCAATGTACTGGCACATTTTAGATGTTCTGTAAAGACTAATAGCAATCAAGCTACCTAATAGTTGGAATTATTTAACATTTTCATACCTAAATACTCTGTCTTTTTGTTTTAATACAGTTAGTGCTATGTTTTCATTGTCTTCAGCATTCATTCAGCTCATATAACTCATTCTTTCAGTCTTTTTCTCTTGTTAATAACTGGGAGTTGGTTATAACCAAGTGAACTCTAAGTGGAGCTCTACATCAACTGCCAACATTTAGATGAAACTAGACAACAGTGTCTTCTTTTGACATATTTTATTTTTGTGATTAAGAATTTGTTCAAAATACCATTATTTGTAAGGTGCACAAACTTCGTTGTAGCGCAGTGTGTCCGAAGAATTTCTGATAGGCTATCAGATGTTACAATTTTCCTTTCATCTTGCATATGCTATTCCATCTAAACAACGGGATCGTGTACATAGAAATACCACGTTATTTATGTAACGTTTGAGGTAATAGCAATAGTGTATCATTTTCTAGTCGCACTTCTATTGGTCTCCTGCTATTCGCGTTCAGAACTACAGTCAAAGTTATAATTTAGCGGTCACTGATGTTACATTTCCAAAAATATGCCTATCTTTGTAAATCAGAAACTTGTAATATGTTGACTTGCTATTATGCCAGTTAGCTTATGTTGAGATACAACTACAGCTGATTAAATTTACTATTAATAAGCCTAGCAACTAACAGGAATTAATTATAATAAAGGTTTTTGTATTTCTCAATGAATGGAAAACAAAACGATATTGTTTTTACTGACGTTTCGCTATTTAATGCTAATAGCTTTATCAAAGCATATATCAAAGAATAATAACAGGAATAAGGTTAAAACATTTTGCTTTGCTTTCCTTTCAGCTAGTCTGCATAAATGCTGTACTATTTCCGCATTCATAGAAAACAGTTTTACGCGTGGATTTTGTATTTTTAAACCTTCATCACATGACACTAAGAAGTATATTCAGTAATTATATAAATAAATGAAGTCATTGTCACGACTTTATTACACATCATACCGACGACGACGATGAGGCATCTCGAACTCTTTGAAGAAAAACACGCAAATCTAAAATGGGACTGAGATAAAAATCGTCTAACTTACTCTGACCACCTGTCCCAGCAGACTTGAGTGATTTTATCCTAGCTGCCTCTGTCTTCGCTGGCTCAATAATGAACCTAATAATATTTAGTTAAATATAGTTTGCGTCAACTAATTTTACCTGTTCACCAAAGATATATGCGAATTTCGGAAATTCCATAATGATTGTAAACAGTCATTATAGGCTGTTTTGAGACGAGGAGACTTGCTTTCATTTGCTACATATCAAGGTAAACAAAATGGGAATATTACTTAAGGTCACATTTAAATGAAAGTAGTTTAAAATACACAGTATCACTCAGAAAAAAGTGCGTATGATAAAATATTGTCCCTTCAATCAGTATTGTTTATTCTGAAAGAGCTGATTTAGTCTTCAAGACATTTGACAGTTGCTGCGTTTGGCTTCTTGGCCGGTGAATAGTATTAATACTTAGTAATGTTTGCACGTTTTCCGGTAATTTACCATTGATTTGTGAAGTAGACTACTCTAGAAACAATGGGCAATCATGAACTCTGCATGCTATTTATCGCCTACCGTATTCAAACTTATTTTCGCTCAATGAACCTTGTGTATTTTGTGAGGGCTGATGATACAACTCAGTAGCCTAGACTGGCGTGGCTGGAAAGAAATTAGAACACAGGATCCATTAAGTGGAAGTCGAGGGTATAAGTTCACGAGTCACATCTCCATTCATGTGCGCTGTGATAATACTTATGTATCCTAAACTTTTTTAGAATAAGCAGAATATGGAAAGAATATGGAAAAGTGGAATTAAAACCGGTATTTGAACAATTTAAAATACCAGGAGACAATTATCGCTTTCGTCTTTGCTGACAGAGAGTGGAATCAACATATTTGGGTGAAAAGCTACTACTACATGATTCCATTTATAGTCCGAGGAATGTATAGTCCCTAAATGCATGTTTATTTATTTTCTTCCGTCATAAGCTTTCCTGTTTCAGATAATACTTGACTTAAAACTACCGTTTTATCCCTCATGATTGCTTTTAAAACTTTGGTTATTGTGGCTGCTGTTCCCAAATGTTCACGAATATTGAAAATAGGTGGTGTCTGTGTTCACTAGACAGGGTGGTCTGTGAAATCAGGTATTTGAAATGTTAGGTAATAAGTTCAAGTGCTACGGAAAATATAAATGAAGCATCTTGGTTAGGACGAAACACGGTTTTCACATCTCATTAACAAGGAAACATCTGCTCAAAGAGTTTATATACCAAAAGAAGTGAATTGTGTATGGCGAGTAGTGTGAACATTGAACTCTCATTATGTATAAACTCATACTCACCTATAAAACGAATTCGGCTGCAATTTGCTAGATCTTGAAGAAACTGCCGATGTTCCTTTATCATGTATGATTGCATTTTACGCAAGAATTCTTCATCTTCTACAAGAATATGGATAATGGTATATTGTGAATAGGAAATACTTTCTTATTACTGCCTGTAAACCAAAAGGAACTGGCTACTTTGATAAAGGGATAGGAGTATAAAAGCGTCCAGCAGGATTATATATGACATGATCTATTGGGCTACTAGGACACAAGAGTCACTTCTTGCATTGCATTTTTATGGTAGAAACGGTGGCTACTGGGTTCGGCGTACCATAGAAACATCACAGCTCACTGCTGTGCATGTTTATCTAGTTTACAATTGTTGGAAGCGTACTATGTATTAGACTGCTAGCCACAACCGAAAACAACTGAGGCGAAAGCAAAAGTGAAAATCCTATCGTGGGTTTCGTTTGTGACGTTCGAATTTTGCATGGAGCCTATCAGTTTAATGAAAAACAAATCAACAGGAACTTACAAATATAGATTTATAAGGTGAAAATGTAAGGGAAGGATAATGAGTCTGTTGAACAGAGAAGTGATTATACCAGATATATTTCCTAACTCTTTCAGAGCTTCGAGGTGACATTATTTTGCTGACTACCTTCTTTGTGATGAAATGATATGGGTTACATAATAGACTGTAGCACTATAGTTGTTGACCTCGCCTAGTTAACCAGCCGGGTCTAAGCCTGGAAGCAGATCGAAAGTTGGGCATAGGGCCAGCGATCCTAACCCAGAAAATCAACACGGTTTCTATAGAAACTATAGTAAACAAAAAAGTGTGAACTTATTCTTCTCTGGAATCAGAGAGAGTGAATGACGTGGATTTGTGGAAGCCTGTGGCAAACCAGTCAGCCAATGTGCCTTATTTCGACAAAAGCGAAAATAACCATGGGAACATGGAAGGTCCACATGATATTCTGAGTTTGGGAGACTAACCACTTTGGCAAAGAGATGAGAAGATATGGTAGAGAAGTGCTGAGAATTTGTGAGAGTAGACGGGATGGGTGTGAACTCTGAAAATTACTAAGCGGAGATTCAATAACCCACTCCAGTCGCTCAGACAGTGGCACTGAGGAAGTAGATATCATAATGTCATCAAAAGCATCAAAGGCTCTTATGTAGTGGGAAACAACCTCCTCCGGAATAACGACAGAATGATTCAGTTCAAAAGACAGGAATGTTACAATTGCTCAATGTAACGCCCTTACAAACAACGCAGAATAAGAGGAGAATGGAGATTTCAACACACAGATACAAACAGTGTTTTGACATGGAAATCATAATGCCAGATATGAATTCTTAAACTGGGTGCAGACAACACTGGAAGGGAATTCATCATGAGTCGAGAGGCTGTCGGTGAAAAGAGTCAGTAGGAGAAACTCTACACAGACGTCTGTGCACTGAGCGATTCGGTGACTGGAGGCAGTGTGTACGAGCACAAAGACATAAAAGAAGCAATATGGGTTTCACCAGATGGGCACACCGAAAATCAGACGAATTCCATCTTAGTCTCAAGAAGGCAGAGACAGTCTGCTGTACACAAAATCGAGAAGGGGTAGATGTGGGCTCAGATCACTATCTAGTGCAAGGAAACTTTAAGGCCAAGTTGATAGCCCTCAAACAAGCAGGGGATAGACCGAAATTCAAGTTCAACACTCAGAACCCCACGGATGAAACTAGAAAGGACAACTTCATTGCAGTCATCAAAGCAAAGTGAGAGACATTATGTGGTATCACCGAAAAAACATTTGTGGAGAACATAAACTCTGAAAGTGATGCTTAAGGGAACCTATTAGCTGTCTTGAGAATGGAGAAGAGTTAGGAAAACGAATGGCTTCCTACGGACACGTGGAAGTCAATAGAGGAGAGAGAAGGATGGAATTGCAGTGGGAGAAGAAGCAGAAGAACCAGTGCAAAAGTGGGAAACGGAGAGGGAGCTGATTTCAATGTACAGGGCACTGAATAAAGAAGAGACGAAGAGTGCTAGGGAACACAAAAGGCAATTTTACGACACATTGGTAACTGAGGTAGAACCGGCTGCAAGTAAAGGGGACCTGAGCATATTATATCATAGAAGAGGGTCTTCATCTGAGAAGAGATCAACACAGATGAAACGAATGAAGGATAGTGAAGGAAGCCTAATTACCCAAGAAGAGAATAAAGAAAGCAATGGGCTGATCTCTTCAAAGCACTCCCGAACCGACCATCACCTAAATTTGGCCCAGAAAAACGACCAGTAAACACAGAACTGTCAGGGAACACCAATCCTCTGACAAAAGCATAAGTATTGAACACCACAAAGTTGCTGGAAGACAGCAGGATCAGACGGTATTCCTCCGGATCCACTGAAAACCGACCTAAGGACCTCAGTGGATATATTGGCGAAACTGGTGGAGAAGGTTTGGGAGGAGGTACAAACTGATTGGGATTTAGGTAACCTGTTCAAATTTCCACAGAAGCGGACCACATAGGAACATTGAGAAGACAAAGGTCATGAAGATACCTAACAAACAAACAAACAAACAAAAACAGAAGGGAACAGCAGTCACTATAAATGACAGAAATTTGAAGGAAGTCACTTCTTCCAACTACGAGCGGCCCGGATGAGGATGTCAAGGCCAGGATTGGAAAGGCGAGACAGACCTGCATTAATCTGAAGTCGTGTGGAAACCTGTTCATTTAGTATCAAGAAAATGGTTCAGATTTCCGACAGTACGTGTCAAATCAGTACGTGTCTATGGGTCAGCACTTGGTGCTTGTGTAATGAAAAGCATTTTGAACAGGCTTCAGAATTTCATCAACAGATGCCTTCTTCGATATTGAAGATCAGATGACTAGAAAGGATTAACATCACGGAACTCCGGCAACAGACCAGTCAATAACCTACTGCGGAAAAATATGCCTAAGAGATGGAAATTGAGATGGCTTGGACACACGCTGAAGAGACCATTGAGTGACATCGCACGCCAGGCCATAGCAGGAGTAGAACCAGAATGGGAAACGATCAGTTGGACATGGGTCCGAAGGTGATATGGCGGAGATCGTATAAGGAGTAGATGAGAGTTTGTGGGCGATTGTGGAGCCAGCTAAGGAGGACTGCAGAGAACAGGATGAAATGAAAATGTGCTGTCGAAGCCCTATACTCCAAGGTGCGCTATCATACGAAAACGTGGTGCTGGTGCATATAGTTTCAAAATTCGTATTATCATTTTCAAATTTAACGTGCGAGCGTGTCAGCGAAAGATTCGAGGAATTCATTGGTGTCAGCGAACTCAATAGTACGTCATTCACTTAAAAATTTAGGTAACGTTTGATTTCCATCCAGGCAAGAGACAGAATTCGGCTGAGATAACAAACAATACACGGTTGGTGAATGGTAGAAATCAAAATCAATGTCAGTTAAGAAAAAAGCCTGTTTACCTGGGTTATGCTTAATTTGAAGAAATGCATCACATGTTTGAAGAGATATTGACTGCGCTGCACTGGCACCGAGACAAGTGCGTCCAATACCACTTTTCGCACAAGTTTCGTTGTTAGTGAATGGGCAACCATTCAAAACAGACATTCCATCTTTGATGTTCCCCTGATGAGTACTGGTCTTGTACACCAAGCCTTTGTCCTTAAGCCTTCCACATGTCCAGCTAAAATTTAAGCAAACTACTGTTTAAATATTAGACCCACGTGTGTTGGTAAGTGAAAAAGGTGTTATTCCCGTAAAAAATCACTTGATCAAGAGGTAGGATAGAACACGAAGCCAAAACGCCAGGTGCTTGTATACTGGTTTTTGCTTTTAATTTAGGTTTGTGCCAGTTATCTATGCACGACTGTTAGACAGATGAACTTGATAAGTGAAATGCATTCATTACTTAGTAGTGAGGCATACATGTACACAAAAGACTTTATCAAGTTGTAAAACCTCAGAGTATACTACTTTGCTAATCGAAAAGAGAATTTTAAGCATAGGATATTGATTTTGGCTATTGATTAATCCAGAATTTACTTCCAAATCCCTTGTGATATTTACGCATTTTGACTAATTTCCTTCTGATTAATAGCAGGAGTATTATTATTTGCCTCTTATGATATAGACGTCCAAGTGTTACACTAAATTACAATGTTTTAATTTCACGGTCAATTAACGGGAATCCCTGTACTGAGGTTTCATTGCAGTTGGAACTTATCGATGAAGCATAATCAGTCCCTGTTTAGTACTATCGCACCACACGATTCATCATCAAAGTCAGATTTGTAATTTAGGTAGGAAGAGATGAAATAACACTATCTCTTCGTGATAAGAAAGTCTGACTCGTCAAGCACTTTAAAAGTCTGTCAATAACACACTAAATCTTCTGGGTAATATTTGTTGTAGTATGAGCTTTAGAGTGACCTGCATCTACTCTCAACTGAAGTTACGTAATGTGAACCAATTAGGTCGTATATACTGACTGGTTGGTCTTATTATGCATCCATAGCTGTGATTTCAAGATAAGGACATTTTGATATTGAGGCAATCTTTTTACCAATCCCTTCTTATAACAAGAGTTAAATCCTATGTGCAGAGTATTGAAGATTGGAAGTATATCTCCTTTCCATACACTTGTCTTAACTAATGAAAACTGATAAGGTTGTGTAAATATCCACAAAATCCATCAGTGAAATAAGGCTTACCCAGAGAGAATAGGTCTTAATTGCACATAAAATTCTTCCGGGTATAGTTTACCTGTTCAATAAAATAAGTGTTCATTAGAACGATTGTTTAAACTAACATTCATAAATACTATTATTATTATTACTGTGCAGGTGTGTATGTGTGTGTATGTGATTGCATTACTAAGTCTTGTAAATGCATACTTGAATAATTACAGATGAAATATCCTGTATCATCACATTGTCTATTGACTTGCAATAGTAGCCAGTTAATTATTACTACTTTCTCAATACTTTAATCCATAAAAGTTAAAAGCTTGTGATTTATAAAGTAAAATGCATAATCGGCCTGTTATTCACACGCACCACTCGCAACTGCTAGTCACAGAATAGTACTGATCATTCGTTTGGCTTTGATTTACCTGAAGATGACATAGGTAATAATTCCCGGGAATTTACAAGATTAGAATCAGGATTTGATTATGGTTATTTGTAGTAGTATTAGTATTACTATTAGTGGTAAGTATTGGTAAGGAAGATGCCAGTGAAAAGAAAAATAGTGTAGTGAGTTCAAAGTAAACAAATTAGTCTTTAAATCCAATGGATAGTATTTTAATGCTTCCAATGTGCCAAACTGATGGTAAATAAGTGGACCACATGCTGAGCCATCACCAGTTTTGGGTGACGTTCAATTTGGTTGGAAAAGAATTAGTGGTGGTCAAAAGAAAACGTGGCACCAATACATAAATTCACTGATTGTTGGCTGGTATAGACTGTTTGAATGAGGCATTGGGAGCGTTTATAGTCAATAGTTTGGGACTACTGTTGATATAGAATACATAACATACATGGTAACATCCTTTAACATCTTCGGAGTTCTGAGCATTTTCAGTAATCTTCATTAAATTATACTCTCTTTTTCTAAAGTGTGGTTTGTAAGGGTTAGTTATGTTTTACGAGTTGATCATGGACTGATATCAGTTAGAGAACCATTGAAAACCAGGGAGTACTGGACATTTGTTTTCATCTATCGCTTGTCATATTCATAATGAACTGAGAATTCAGATATCAAAGTCATAAAATGACAGGGTTATTGAACATCGCCGAAGTAGTAAGGTGTTGCTAAGCGACTAGGATGCATAAATGCATGTCAGACAAATCTGCAATAAGCCGAGATATTGATGCATATCTTCTCCACTGTCTCAGAATCGAATGTAAACGTACAGAGCTACAGCATTTACAGAAGGACAGTGAAAGCCTGATTCAGAATTTCGAAGTGTTCTTTGTATACAGAAAAAGCTGATTAGATAGCGTGATAGGTCAGACCAGAAAGTTCCGGTGATACTTCCAACTTTAGTGTTGGTCTCATGACAGCATAGAAAATCGCGTTTGGTGTGAGTGCTCAATGAGTCGGGTTAGTCACACTGAAATGAATCCATACGACTATCCTGCTATTGACTCCCTTCTTTAGAGTCTGATGCTTAAGAAAGAAATACTAGCTCAGACGAGTATTTATAGTAATACGTAGTGTTCTCAGAAGAATAACTAATTTCAGCTAGAATTAAACTCCTGGAAATGGTCATATAGGTGATTGATAAAATGATTGTTTATACTGAATTAAAATGTTACCGACATCAAGGGGGGGGGGAAAGACAGCTACGAGTTTCGTTTGCTTTTCTCCGATCACTCAGTTAGAAATAGATGCATGATTAATGATTACAATATAAATATTTTGTATGATCTACTCTAACTCACCGTAAAACTTCGTAAGTGATTTCCTGAATGGTAAAAATTTTTGAACTATGTTTTCTAGGCTTTCTGCAATTCTCTCTTCATCCAAAGGATTTTGAGCTTCAATAGCGTTCATTACTTCCTAGAAGAAATCAAGCGAACAGACGTTGGAAGCACTTTTACGATAGTTTATGTAACTCATGTTTATTCCCTTCGAATTCGGGAGTGACTTGTGATTTAGCACTTCCTCATGAATTTCAGGTTTCAATACCATACCATAGTTTTATTCTGTGTGTGCGCCTTGTCACTAAGTTAAACTTCAGTTGCTTGTCTCAGAAAACTATTAGAGTTATCTCATAAACTTTCCTGTCAGAAAAACACCAATTGGAGAGTCAGAATTTCATTGGGAGTTTTATCAACTCACTGTCCCAAGGGTTATCCATTTGTTCAAAGTGAAGTGTCGCAGACACTTTAGCTATAATATATGCTTGAATACATTCGGAAGTAGTTTCCAACACGCAACTAACGAGCATATTTGAAACTCAGTAAACCGACGTGCACATTTGTACAAACAATACATTTGATTTTCAAGGACTCAGCATTTTGTGAACAAGCATCTCGGGAAAATTCTGAAAACTTGTAAAAGTTCAACGGAGATTAAAGCGCATATCAGTCGGCCATGGTATGACAATCCATGTGCCTCATGAGTGCTTCTAGCTGAACGAGATTTTTCAACCCTGCCTGCTGACTGCATTTTATGCAGAATGCATATTAAATTCGTTATCCTTTTATCCTGAGTAGAGTATTATGATATAGACGGGAATTCTCGCTTGCTGATGGATTCGTGCCTAAATGAGGGTAGCAGACATTGAGTGACAGTGTGTGCAATCTAAGTTGTAAAACTAGTAGACAGATTCCGACCACCAAATTTGTGAATCAACAGCTACATTGGTTACATTATAATTAGCAATTTGTGTGATGCACTATCTGTAGATATCAATAAAAAGGCATGGTAGTCAAAGCTCAAACCACTAACAGTCAGCCAGGCACATATTTTAAATGCTGTGAAACTCCCACCGCCTTAAAGTCTAAATTTAAATGCGTTGGTGGCATAGCGGTTAGGACACTCGCCAACCATGCATATGGTCCGGGGCTCGAACCCCGGCCGACGCACTCCTTTACCTCGCTAAGCCAGAAATAATGCTGGTGAAGAGGAAAGGTTGAGCAAGAGGCTAGCAACCCCATCCTGTAAAATAAACACTGCTACAGAAACTTGAAGCCACTAGCTTGAAGCCCTATGTTCCACTGAGGAACGTGAAGGATAAAAAAAAGAATCGGTTACAAGCAACTGCAATATTATATTAGAACTGTCATTAATACAGGCTTTTCTATAAGCTCAGGGAGCAGAGACTTAGTTTTTAACGGTGAGACTGAACGTATAAGAACTTCTCCAGCTTATCAGTTGACCAATCTGTTTAGACAGTAAATAGAGAGCAGGAAGTTGAAAAAAGAAAATCTGAGTTATTTTGCCAAAATATCATTCATCATACCTGTAGTATTGGTGCAAAGTATATTTCACATTCTCCAGTCAGTGTGATAAATGCTTCCCAACTTTGGTGAAATGTAGGCGTGTGTACATTTTTCAAAAAGCTAAAGAGGAAAACACGAATGTATCAATAAAACATAAAAACGGGGAAAGAAGAAGCACATGTTTAAGAGATTTTAATCTTATGGCGAACAGACAACAAAGGAAGTGGATACACTTTTTCAATGTTTCCACTTGACACATCTCATATCAGCATATCAGGGTAAAACACCAGTACAGAAACAATCGGGTTGTGAAAATAATACCAAGACAGTTAGTAAAAAATGTCAACGAAGGCAAAAAAGCAATGGAGTAAACAGAAATATGAAAAATATGTTCATTGAAGTCAAATCTGAATTTTGAAACATATATCAGACCATGGAATGGCAACACTCCTTGTTTTAATCACTCTTATCTTTTTTCAGAATTGATCAATGAAGCCTAGCTTATTTCTCCTATTGGCTGTTTCAGGAACAAATCATTGATCGTAACTATACTCAGTCCACCACAGAAGTTAATGGCTTTGTTAATATAGTTGTATTATTGCAAGTTCCCAAATTTCAGTGTTGGTAGAAATTCCTTTTATTTATGGTGGGGCGAAATTATTCTTCTTGCGTGTACTGGGTGTTCTGTGATTCTCTACATCCTCCTTGTCTGTGTATTTGGTCTTCAGGCCTGTCATTATGACTAACCGTGTTATAAATATGTGTCAGCTTATTTATGAATTACGAACACTCATTCGCCTTGTTAGAGTACTTTGTCGTTAGTGAACGACTACAGACACAGTAGGACAATCTGTTTACGTCAGCCTGGCTTGGGGGTATGTCAGTAAAATCAAATGAGGAGATCAATTCTTCCATAATTACTTTTTAAGTAAAGATGTATGAGTATAGTAAAGAGCGGACATTTTGTAACTGACATCCTCTTGTTTACTTGGGGTGAACAGTACTTTTGTTCTGAGGCTGGTTCTCTCTCTCTCCCGAAATAGCAGGTATCTGGTTTAACCAAAAACGCGATATGCCAGATTAATTAATAACCCACTTCATTTTCAGATAATTTTTCAGCAAATGTCATTCAAGTCCAATTCATACTACTGCCAATCCTGTAGACTCTTTGAGGAACCACACCGTCACAGTGTTAGACACACGTGCACATTTCAGCAGACAAGATAACAGTAAGATGAATCCTTCTGTTATGTCTGTGACAATATTACGTAACACATTTTGAGTCTGTTCAGCGCAGCACCTACTCCAGTCAGAAACTCATAACTTTCGGTCCAATTGAAAGATGGGTTATTCTTATTACAGAACACATAATACTAACAATCTATGAGTATATTTGTTTCGTAAAACCGAATCAAATTACAAAAAGAAGGTTAGTATAATAATGGTAGTTTTTGAGTTGTAAATTAGGCAATGAAAAATTTGAATATTCGTTTACGTTCGCTTAAATTATAAAATTTCTTGCTTGTATTTCAGACTATGGAGGAAATAACAAGATTTCTTTCAAAGGCTATTTTGCCAAATGATCTAGTCTACATTGATTATTTCACTTGTATTCTAAAGTCCTGATATGAGCCGATCGAGGAATTCTATTCCGATTTCTAAGTCATAGTTTATACACTGCAATATTTGTGAAGGTGTAATAAACTTAGTTTGGGCTGTTACCTGTTATCAAAGAACTAACCTACTTATTTGACGAAGATCAGTAGCCTCATTATCTT